GCCCCGTTTTTTCTTTCATGGGCGCTATGGCGCCCAGGTCTGGCGCCGTGGCGCCCGTTGTTCTGCTTCTTTTCTTTTTTTTTTTTCTTCCTTGGGCGCCATGGCGCCCAAGTTTGGCGCCGTGGCGCCCAGGCTTCTGCTTGCTTTTTCTTCTCTTTGTTTTTTCAAGCCTATTTCCCACTCCAATCTTATTCAATACTTGCTTATTCATGCTCCATTTCATTGATCATCATTTTTGCTCATCACCGGCTCCCAATAGTGATATTTTCTTGAGAATTGTCCAAACTGCAAAACAACACTAACACACACATCAAAACGTTCAAAAAATGCTCAAGAACACATCAAAAAACTCGATTTAGAAGCTTTCGTTTAGTGAGTGGATTACACTCATCATGTTTGTATATATGTATGAAGTGATTACTTGTTTGACTGAATGTTCAACCCACATAATTTCAAAGTGAGGCATAGGTATATAGTATAGAGGTTTTGGATTGTATGGAATAGGGTTTCTCGAGAAACACTATCGCTCTAGAGAGAGCCCAACGACAGTTGCTCTGCTCGAGCTATAGACAAATGAGGCTAGCGACAATGTTACTATTTTGGACGCTCGAGCAACAGTTTAACGGCTGGCCAGCATAAATTCGACAACTTTTTCATTTGTTCCATAGACTTCCCCGATGACTTCTAACTCATCTATGCAACCTACCACTTGGCTCTTTGATTTTTTTAAAATTCTTTTTCAACTATGTTTTTATCTAAAGATTGCCAATATCTCTAAATCCTAACAGACTTTGCCTTTGGCATTTCGTGACAAAACAAGTTTTACAAATCAAAGATATCCAATCTAATCTGCCCAAAACCAACTAACTCAATGAATCTTTTTTTCTTTGTTAGACCTGTTTCATGATAACAATTCAAATACCAAGTATAAAAGCATCTGAAACAATAACATAAATAAAAGTTGTCAAGACAGTTATTCACAAGCTCAAAAAATGCCAGCTAAATTAAGATACAATATTAATGTAAGCCAATACACCCAAATCAAACATTAATATCACTAAACATCAAAACTTAATCTAGCTAAATAGGAGATAATATCATATACATCTGAAATAATGTCAAAAGATATTTTTAGATTAAAACATAATACTTCTCTCCTATTTTCGTTACAAATGACAAGGGGATACCTAACAGTGTAGGTTTTACTTGTCCACTTAATTATACACTCTTAGCTTCTCAGAAAATATTTGTATGTCTGTTGAAATTAGAAATCTTTCAAGAGAAAAATAAATGACCAGCATCTTCTGTGTATTATATGTTATCCCTTCTCTCTGCATCTGTCAGTTGAAATTTTACAAGGTTGTCGACTTATTAATCCATTTTCTATTGAAGCTGTTGGGGTTTTTGATACCCAATAATCTGAACAATGATTTAAAATATTTGTCGGATTAATTATCGACACCATAGACTTGGCTCGGCTCGAGAATGAATTAAACTTTTGGATGGCTTGAGTTTGGGTTGGATTTGTTGTTGATGGATATGTGAGTTTTGGCCCAATTGTTATTAGGTTTGCTTAGGTTTTAAGAAGCCCATTTGTTGGTCTAGGTTTTAGTTTATTGTGGCCCAAATAGATAACCTAATATCCAATATATATTCACCCTTCTTGCAGTCGTTTCTTTTATGGTGTGTGGGTGTGTGCAATTGTGAAAGTTGAGGGAGGCAGCCGAGAAAAAACCATGGAGGGAGGCAGCCGGTTCCTTGGAGTTGAATGAGTAGCTATTGTCATCTTCTTTTATTGCTAGTATGATCACCACCACCATCCCTTCTCCTTTGTGGATTGAGAGCGTTTGGGGCTATCCAAAAGTGTAGGAGAACTCTGATAGGTTCCAGTCCACCTCTCCGTCTAGAAGGATCTAGAAGAAGAATAGCATGCAAGTGGGGGGAGTCTGTTAGAGGGAAAATTGGAGGGAATTCTGTTAGAAATTTATCTATAAATGAGGGTAGAAGTGAGGAATAGAGGCAGGCAATATTTGAGAGAGTGGTTTAGGGGTTCCGTTCATGTTTACAGCCTTCATTGGCTTTGTTATTTCATTTTCTGTAATTCTCTTGTTATTCAATAAAAGTATTACTCATTTAGCAATTTATCTTTGCTCTTCCAGTTGGTATCCTATCAATTGGTATCAGAGCGGTTCGTTCCAATGGCAGAGGATGAGACAGACGGTAGACTCGAAAACATGGTGAAAGGAATGAAGAAATTGACAGCAGAGATGCGTGATTTGAGAAAAAAGGTTGAGTAAGTGGCTCAAAGCGTGGTAGCATTAACACAAACCATGAAGGGGCTGAGCCAAAGTTCCGAGGAAGAAGGGAAGACTAGTGGGACAGAAGGACCTGTGCAACCAGAAATTGTGAAGGATCATCATGTAGTTGAGTAGGAAAGAGATGAGAAACAAAAAAAAAATCCGAAGATACCCACCCTTCTATGCTTTTTGTTAATTCTGGGGTAACTCCAGTAATGGAAGAAGAGGGTAAAAAGACCAAGTAGGGGTAGGAAGTCCATGGCGACTAGTGATGGCAACGGGGCGGCCCCAACCCCACCCTGCCCCGCCTTAAATGGGGCGGGGCAGGTTACGAGGTGGGTTCGGGGCAATTTTTTGCCACATTAACTGTAATTTTTTTTTACACATTTTCAAAATTTAAAGTTATACTATTAAATTATAAAATAAAAATTCAGAATTTAAAAATTCAAAACAAATAATGCTCAAATTAACATCAATATTCAAAGAAACACTTGAAAAAACAATATAAAAAAACTATATTTTTTTTAATATTCACGGGCTGAGGAATTATGCTCCACCCCTCCCCATCAACCCATCAGGGTGGGTTTTTTTTGCCCCATTCGGGGCGGGTCTGGGTAGGGCAAATTGCCATCTCTAATGGTGACTAGGGGGTCAGAATCGGTGGTTGGAGATGCCAATTTTTTAGAGGAAAAATTCGGAGAGTTGGGTCTTCAACGCTGAGAGGTATTTTGGACTCACCCAAATTTCAAAATCAGAGAAGTTAGAAGCAGCCACGATTTGTTTTGAAGATGAAGCTCGATCCTAGTATCAGTGGCAGTAGAGGAGGAAGAAGCTATGTAGCGGGGAGGAATTGAAGGACTTAGTAA